CGTAGAGCTCCAGCCCCGCACCTCCCGCGATGGCCCCGGCCATCTGCACTCGCCTAGGCCGCATCCTCTGGCTTGCCTGCCTCCTGCCCTTAGCACCGCCGAGGGTGGCTGCAGGTAAGGCGAGCGGGCTAACCGGAGCCTGGGAGACCGAGGTGGCGCGGTGCGCCCTGCGCGCTCCGTCCTCCTCCCTCAAGGCCTCTGCAGCCGCCCTGGAGAGAATGAGAGGCCTCAGGGTGCGGCGACGCCTTCTCTTCTGTCCCGTCTCCCTTCGGTTTCATATCCCTCTTCTCAGAGGTCTTCCTGGTACTTGAGTGGGCTCCCTGCCCTCCTCGGTGCCGGTTCCCTTCCACCTCTCGGGTTGGTCCTGCCCTGGGGGGCTCGTGGGGTGGCAGGCGCATCCCTTCGGGTGCCTGGGGACCTGGCACCCGCTGAACTATGGGAAGAGAGGCCGGGTGGGGCGCAGCACCCCTGGGAACACAGACAGGTTGCCCATGGGGCAGCTTTTCTGCCTTAAGATGTCCCCTTTCCCCCGGAGTTTTCCGTTCTGCTCGCGCTGGCTCCGCAGAGGGGCGGGATGCGATTTAGCGCCCCAAAGGCTAGTCTGCCATTTCCTCTCTGCTAGTCATTTCCAAAATGGACCAGAAAAGACATGTTCTCCCAGGGTCCACACCTCAAGCATCTTCCCACCACTGGAAGACTGGAACCAACCTTTCCAGCGTGTTTTGGGAACAATAAAAACACCCAGGTTGGAAGTTGTCAGGGACAGGTGGGATGAGGGTAAATAGTATTCAACATTTTCCATTATTCACATACCCTCCCCTATTAAAAACTGGTAAGGAACGGGGTCAGATGCAAACTTGTTAAAGAAAAGCCACAAGGTAAACAATACACATTTGCATTTTAGGCATGCATTAGGAGAATTCTGTGTGAATTGTCCTTGGGCAGAATCCCCCTGCAAGATTTCATACTGTCCATTAAGGGCTACATGCATTAGAAATTAGCAATGTATTCTAAATTGTAAGAAAAAAAATCGTGTGGTTGCCAGCTAGTGGCTTGCACTCTTGATACTGTCCAAATTATAGTAGTGGAGACTGGGTTGGGGAACATCCTTTCTCCCTTCTCCTACACCCAGAGGAGGAACACAAACTCAGAAGCCTTTTCTACCCCTCCTGGGTCAATATCATTCTGCATGAATTTATCCTGCACCAGTGCTCTGTAAGTCGGAAGGCCATGCACAGAGCAGTTAATTAATTCCAGGTTGTGTTATCTATATGGCAAGGGTCTCTTTGGCAAGATTTTGGGCTATAAGTGCTGTGAGAGGTCTGATGTAGCCATTTTCTAGTGTTCAGGACTCCCTCAGGTTGCTTGGTGGGAAAGGGTGCTTGCTCTGAGCAGACACCCTGGGGTCCTGGTAGATGTTTCTTCCAGGGCAGGCTTTGGGGACAATTGCCCCTTCCCTTTTTGCTCTGGCCCCTTTAGCTCTGAGTCACTTAGGGGCACCTGTAGAGCCCCCCAGCTCATTCCTTTATGTCTCTGTACTACTAGGCTGTCACCAGGGCTCTCAAACCTGGAAAGATGAAGTTGAATGGGTTCAGTAGTGGGCCCTGGCTTGACATCTGCAGCCATTCTTGGCAAGACCTTTATGGTCCATTTCAGCCCTGATGCCCCGGGGGAGAAAGAAGGGCACCATCCTGTAGGGCAGTTGTGGTGAGCCAGGAACCTATGGCAGGTGTGCTGCAGCAGGCTGATAGTATCATTGAAAGCTCTAAAAGGTTTGCCATCACTGCCTTAGCAGCTCTGAGAAATCCAATTTAGGCAAAATGACCTTGCAGCTTCTTCATAGCAGGGCAGGTGAGGAGGCTCCCATGAGCTGGGCCAGCATTTGAGCAATATCTGCAGCAGCCATATCCCCTCCCTCCTCCCATCTCTCTCTTCTCCAGGCACCAGCAGGCTGCCCCCCTGATTCCATTCCCCTGGCAACGGATATGCGTGGTGCTGACGTGCCCACCTTACTGCAGATACTGGATGGCCATTAGCATGCAGCCGAATGTCCCTGGCACTTGTCAGCCTTGCTCTGGCCCACAGTTTTTTACTGGGGGAGGGACAGAGGATGCGGGTGCAGGGGGCAGAGTGAGAAGGGAAGAGGTGGTCTGTCATTGAAGCACTGCTCTGGGCAGCCTGGCCAGATGCTGCTTCCCAGCCAAAAAGAAGAATGGAGCTCAGTCCTGGGGTGTAGCTTGTGGGGTAAATCTAGATGGCAGCAAGTGGCCCATGTGGATCTCAGGTCCCCTGTGTAATATACACATGGCTGTACTACTTTGGCACAGTTTTCACTGCAGTGCCTGGAATTCTGTCTTTGGGGTTAATGCAAGTCCCTTTTTCAGTGCCAACATTTCCTTGGAAGTGACCAGCCCTTGGTATCTTGACTCAAATGGCTTTGTAACTCAAGACCTGACCCTGAAAGAAAGGGATTCAAAATAGGAGGTAGGACACGGGCAAGAGGAAAGACTGGAGCCAAAGTCCATAATGGCAGTAGGTAATATTTCTGGGAGGTGAATGGGGCATACTTGAGGACAAATCCACCTCCCAGTTTTGCTGAATCTACCATGTCCTACATCCCCCCCACCCCGTGGAACTGGGACACACAGAAGGGACTCTGTGGCACCTGGGTAAACAGTTTCCTGAGGCTGGTCCCCCAGGCCATACCCTACCCTCCAGGTGTCCCTCAGAGGCAGCAGTGCTGAACACCTACTGTGTGCCAGGTACTTTCCTTTGCACAGAGGAGCTAGAAATAACCCCTGTACTCAACTAGTTCAACGAGCACTAGAGGAGAAGAGGAAACCTTAATTCAGTATGGTATTGTGATAGCAATTTGTTCAAGCTGCAGGAGAGCTCTGAGGGGTGAGGATGGAAGATGTTACATCCATAGACAAATTGGCAGAGAAAGGCATTCTAGCAGTGAGGCCAGAAAGGGGAGAGCATGAACCACATCCTTTCCTTATTTATTTATTTGAGACAAGACCTCATTATATAGCCCAGTCTGGCCTTGAAACTTGCAGTGATCCTCCTACCTCAGCCTCCCAAGTTCTGGGATCACAGATGTGTGTGCTCCATACTCCATGCCCAGCCTTTATTTTTTATTTTGAGATAGGGTCTAACTAATTCTGATTACTCAGGCTAGGTTCAAACTTGTAATCTTCCTGCCTCAACCTTCTAAAGTTCTGGGATTATAGGTGTATAGCACAATGCCTTGCTGGGGATTGATTCTTGGGGCAGATGGCATAACAGGGTGTGAGAGGAAAGAAGAAATTCAGAGGATAGTGCTGGCTAATAGAAAGTTGCTTGAGGATAGAAATATTCTGAGAGTGGTTTCTAACCACATGTGGCTGTAAAGCAGTTCGAATGTAGCTAGTGTGATCAAGAAACTGAATTGTTAGTTTTACTTAAATGTAAGCCAACAAATTTGAGTAATTTGAATTTAATTACATATGGTTAGTAACCACAGTATTGCCTAGAATCCCGTGAAGGGCTGAGAGCTGGAGCAGCAGCTCTGTGGCTGGTTCTCTCAGCTGAATTCGGTGGGGAAGGGGAGTTGGTGTGAAATGGGTAGGATGGGGCTTGCAGCCTTCCCGCTTTTCATTTTGCCCAGATGCATGCAATGGGTGCTCCTCTCTGGGTGCCGGACACTCTCAGACACCATGCCCTGCAGACATCTCATCTGCAGAAAGAACCAAATGACAAGAACAGTGCTACATGCCCACTTGCACAGAGCACTGTCAGCCAGTGTGACAGCTACGTGAATTAGATCATGCTTGCTTGAGGGATTAGCATACAAACATTGAAATTGATGTCAGTGCAACCATACTTATGCTTTTCATATGTTATCCTGTGAAAACAAAAGAATTAAAAATTGTGTGCAATGCGTGATATGACCAAGGGAAAACTTTCTATGCATGAAAAAGATGAGGCCAACAATATGACAACAGTTGCTGTGGAAGGTAGGACAATGGAACAGTTCTAATATTCTTTATGCATATTTATTACTTTAGAAGAAAACCTTATATTAAAAATATTATTGTTAGCTGGGCATAGTGGCCCGTGCCTGTAATTTCAATTCTAGCACTCTGAGAGGTGAGGCAGGAGGATTATTAATTGTAGCCCAGCCAGGGCAGCTTAGCAAGACCTCGTCCTAAAAAAAATGTTTTTTTAAAAAAAGGAACTGAAGATGTAGCTCATTTCAAAGAGACTCTGGATTCAATCTCCAGTACTACAAAAAACCAACTAGTCACCTACAATCTTACCTGTCTATGTAACATATTGTACTCTCTAAAATAGCTGAATAATGACTCAGGAAAATGCTCATAATACAGAATTGAAAAAAAAGTGAAATACTTAATTTCATATCAAGAGAATAATTGGAAAAACACACATAGTCCTTTATATCTCTATGTTCTTCATTCCACAGATTCAACCAACTATGGATCAAAAATGCTGAGAAAAGGGCCAGGGATTTAGCTCAGTGTCTCCATATCTGCCTGGCAATGGCAAGGTTCTGAGTTCGATCCCCAGTACCAAAAAAAGCTGAGAAAAAATTGTGTCTGTACTGAATAGGAACAGAGTATTTTTTCTTGTTATTATTCCCTAAACAATGCAACACAATTACTTATGTAGTCTTTAGATTATAATATGTATTATAAGTAATCTAGAGATGATTCAAAGTATATGGAGGCTGTGGGTGGGTTACATATGAGCACTATACCAGTTTAAATAAGGACTTGAAGACAGACATGTAGCACACACTCGTAATTCCAGTACTGTGGGAGGTGAGAGGATTACATGTCTGAGTCCAGCCTGGACAATTTAGTGGCTTAGCAGAACACTGTGTCCAAAAAAAGAGGGGGGTGATATGGATGTAGTCAGGGCAGAGGCTCTGTGTTCAATCCCCAGTGCCACAAAGGAAGAAAAAGAACAAAGAAAAAGATTTGAGGGTCCATGGATTTGGTGTCCATGGGGGGTCCTGGAACCAGTTCCCCACAATACTGAAGGATGACTAGTGTATGGTAGGAGGTGCTCCAAAATGGTAACAATGTCTGCTATTGACTGGTTCATTTTTAAATATTAAAAAAAATGGCAGTCCTGGAGATTGAATCCAGGACCTTTGCAGTGAGCTACATCCTCAGCTCTTTTTCTTAATTTTTAATTTGAGACAAATTTTCACCAAGTCATTAAGTTGCCCAGACTGGGCTTGAACTTGTGATCCTTCTGCCTCAGCCTTTTAGAGTGCTGTGATTATAGCCCGCTGTCACCATGCCCAGCAATATTTAAATTTTATTTCATACTTGTCTTTACTTTCAGATATCTTACAATTAGTCTTACCTTCAGTGTGGTGGGAGGAGGATGTTAATGCCCCATGTGGCCTCCATCCTATGTTCAATTCTCAGTTCTCTGCCTGTGACAAACAGAATGGTCTCCAGGATCCCTGTGAGAGCTCTGAGATGTTTCTGGTCATTTCCCAAGGGGCTATATCTCATCTGGGATTAACCAGTTCCAGTATTGGCCCTGGCAGGATTGTTGGAGATGAGCTAGCACAGCCCTGCCCAGTGAAATAGTCTCTTGTCCACTAGGGTGACAATTACTCATATGTGGCTGCTGAGCACTTGAAATGTGGCTACTGAGAAAGTAGGTTTTTCATTTTTTAAAAATTTTAATGGGAATTTAAATAGTCACAGTCAGACTGGGCTTGGTTACCATTTTGGATGGTGTGGAACTAGAACCTCTCACTTTGTAGAGTTAAAAGCGAGATTCAGGGAGAAGGAGGTTTGTTTCAAAGGGAACCACCCCAAGGTTTGTTCTGCCTCTATCAAGGCCTTCCAGGTCTAACAGAGTTGATTCTAAGGGAAACAACTCTTATTCTAAAATCTACCTGTAGCCCGGTGTGGTGGTACATGCCTGTAATCTCAGCACTCTGGTAGTGTGAGACAGGAAGATCACAAAGTTAAGTCCAACCTTAGTGACTTATCAAGAATCAAGACCCTGGGCTGAGGATTTAGCTCAGGGGTTCCACCACCTACCTTGCAAGCACAAGAACACGAAATCAATCCCCGGTACCAAAAAACAAAAAAAACAAAAGAATCAAGACCATATCTCAACATTAATATATAACATATATCTCAATATTATATATTATATATGTTATATAATATATATATATATATATGGCTGTAGTTCAGTGTAATCCCTAGTACTGGGGAACAATCTTTATTTATTTGGTAGAATGTTATGTAACTGTCTGAAATAGTTGAAGACTAATGACTTAGGATATTGCCCATGCCTTTCATGGAGCTTCATTTTTCAAATTTGAATTTTGCTCAGCATGGAAAGCCCAGCTCACATGAAAGTGATGGCAGGAGTTGTTTCTTAGGGATGGATGCCATGGCCTCTCCAATGACAAACACAAGCCGTTACACTAAGCTGTACCTGTGCTCCATAACGCATTGGTTGTCTGGTGAGGGAAGAAACTAACTTGTGAAAAACCTGTGATTTGGAGTCAGCCTGGCTTTGAATCCCAGTTTAACAGTGAATTAGCTGTGTGACCCTTGGGCAGTTAATGTGAGCTGCCTGAACCTCAGATTCTCCATGAGTAAAATAGAATACAGTGCCCTCTCCCATGGTTTCTCTTTTCAAGGTTTCATTTGCCTGTGGTCCACCAGCATTAATGTTTCTCAGTAATCCTTATTTTGATGCATGGTGCCCAGAGGGTAAATAGCCTGCCTGCCCTAATGCCACTTTTTTTCTAGTACTAAGTACTGGACCCAGGACCTTCATACTGAGCTATGTCCTCAGGCTTTTTTTTTTTCCTGGTATTGGGGATGGAACTCGGGACCTTGCACTTGCGAGGCAGGCAGAAGCACCACTGAGCTAAATCCCTGGCCCTCCTCAGCCTTTTTTATTTTTTGCTAGGATTTTCTTAAGTTGCCTGAGCTGGGCTTGAACTTGCAATCAGTCTCCCAGAGGGTTGGGATTCCAGGCGTGTGCCACCCTGCCAGGCTCTGCACAGTATACTGAGTGAACAGAGACTATGTTCTTATCATTTTCATTGTATTATATTGTTATAATTGTTCCAATTACTATTATGTACTGTTATAATTTCTTACTGTGGCTAATTTATAAATTAGTTTATCATGATTATGTAGGAATAGGCAAAATAGAGTAAACAGAGTTTGGTGCCATTAGTTTCAGCTGTCCACTGGGGCTCTTGGAACCTAACCCTTGCTCATAAAGGGGAACCAGTCTGCCGGCATGGAGCTGCCGCAGAGGTGGCCGAGGGGGTCCTAGCCATAACCCATCCTGAAACACAGTCTGTTTCTGGGTTCCTAGGCCTGTATGAACTCAGTCTCACCACCGACGGCCCTGCCACCACAGGAGCAGAGGTGACCATCTCAGCCAGCCTGGAGGCCAAGGACAATGGCAGCTTGGCCCTGCCTGCTGATGTCCATGTCTACCGTTTCCTCTGGATCCACACCCCACTGATGCTCACTGGCCAGGTGGAGGAGGACCGCAGCTCAACCATCAGCGTGGTGGGCAACGTGCCTGGGGACTTCCCAGTCTCTGTCTGGGTCACTGCTGCCAACTGCAGGATGTGTCATCAGGTGGCCAGGAGCTTTGTCGTTGTCTCCATCACAAGTAAGCATCTTTCCTGTTTGCTAATTTGCCTGCAAAGCCTTGATTCAGAGAAAAAGCCCCCAGCCTCACTGGTCATCACAGAAATACAGATTTTTATCCATGGGTGCTTCTGCTATCAGCTGTGTTAAAAAGGATTAGAAAAGGGTAACACTTCCCACTGGCAGCCTTGTGCTGAAATGGACAGTTAAAATAGATATTGCTTCCAGGGATATAAATTATTATGATACTATAGAGAGCAACTGGTCAGTGCATAGTGATGAATTTATTCTAGTCTTTGGCCTGATCATTTACTGATTTCTTTTTTCCTTTTGCAGTACTGGGGATGGAAGCCAGGACTTCATGCATGCTAGGCAAGCGCTCCAGCACTGAGCTAACACCCAGTCCTGTTTACTGATTCTTTCTCCTGTCTCCTTCACCACACTTGCTCTCATTCTCCCGTTTCCTCTCTCTTTTCTCTTCAACAGGTGCCTGCCTTCTTGCCCTTTTGAAGCTTATTGTCTATTTTTGTGAAGCTTATTGTTTAATAATTAATTTATTTTCAGGAAATCAACCTCTATTTAAGCAATACTGAATGCACTAAGATGTTTGCTGGAGTGGTGTTTATAGTAGCAGAAGATATCAAGCTAAGGAGAAGCCATTAGAACTGGTTAAATACATTGAGCTAATTTTTGTACCTATTAATAACGACATTCACGGCCGGCAATTTAGCTCAGCGGTTCTGCCGCCTGCCTTGCAAGCACAAGGAACTGAGTTCAATCCCTGGTACCAAAAAAAAAAAAAAA